TAGTAGTAGTAGTAGTAGTAGTAGTAGTAGTAGTAGTAGTAGTAGTATAGTAGTAGTAGTAATAGTAGTAGTAGTAGTAGAAGTAGTAGTAGTAGTAGTGGTAGTAGTAGTGGTAGTAGTAGTAGGTGGTGGTAGTGCCACCGATGCAAAATCTCTCCGCGAAGCAACAGGAGAAACGTTATTGTCTTGGCCATGATTCCCCCCCACCCCCCCACCCGACACTCCTCCTGCCGTCCGCCACCAATTCTTACTTGAATGAATGTAAAAGTCCTTTGCATCCACATGGAACGTCATTATCTTGGCCATGAACCCCCCCCACACCCCACACCCCCGCCACCCCACACTGCTCCTACCCTCCACTCTGTTCAGCCAGATGCTGTTGATACAAGTTAACTCATATATAAATGAATGTAAAATCCCTTTGCATCCACATGGAACGTTATTATCTTGGCCATGGTTCCCCCCCCCCCCCCCCCAACCCCCACTCCTCTTGCCGTCCACCACTACTTCTTACTTGACTGAATGTAAAAGCCCTTTGCATCCACATGGACATGGAACGTTATTATCTTGGCTTAGTTTCTGAACAGTCTAACTTGGTTCTGAATCGGCTGTTTTGGTTTCTGAATCGTAGTTGCCTGATCGGTTGGTTTCTGAATCGGCTAATGACCAATGATTTCATTCATTTTTTCTTTCAATTCATTTCATTTCATTCATTGCATTGCTTCATTTCATTCATTCATTTCATTCATTAATTCATTTCATTCTTTCCTTCATTCATTCATTCATTCCATTCATTTCATTCCATTCTTTCCTTCATTCATTCATTTCATTAATTCATTCCATTCATGTCATTGAATTTCACTCATTCCTTCATTCATTCGTTAGTTCATTCATTCATTCATTCACTTAATCATTCATTCACTCACTCAATCATTCATTCATTCTTTCATTCATTTATTTCAATTCATTCCATTCCATTCCATCGCATTTCATTTCATTTCATTCCATTTATTTTCATTTCATTTCATTTATTTCTTTTCATTCATTCATTCATTCGTTCATTTCATTTCATTTCATTTCATGTCATTTCATTCAATTCATTCCTTTCATTTCGTTTCGTTTCGTTTCCTTTCCTTTCCTTTCATTTCATTCCATTTCTTTTCTTTTCATTTCATTCCATTCATTCATTCATTCACTCATTCATTCACTCACTCATTCACTCATTCATTCATTCATTCATTCATTCACTTCATTCATTTCATTTCATTTCATTCATTTCATTTCATTCATTCATTCATTCATTCATTCATTTCAATTCATTCCATTCCATTTCATTCCATTTCATTTCATTCCATTTCTTTTCATGTCATTTCATTTTATCTATTTTCATTCATTCATTCATTCATTCTTTCATTTCATGTCATGTCATGTCATTTCATTCATTCATTTCATTTCATTTCTTTCATTCATTCAGTCATTCATTCATTTCATTCATTCATTCATTCATTCATTTCATTCATTCATTTCATTCATTCATTTCATTTCATTTCTTTCATTCCATTCCATTCCATTTCATTCCATTCCATTCGATTCCATATTTTTGATTCGTTCTTTCATTCCTTTCGTGCTTCTTATATCCCTCCATCGAAGAGCACGCAGCGCGCGTACCACCGAGCAAATCGCGATGCACAACCGAGGCGCCGCCCGGAACAGATAGAATGGGAAGAGGTGCAGACCGAAGGCTGACGCCCCAGGACTGTGGATGATTAGCGTTGCCCTCCCAACAAAGCTATAGGCAAACATGAAAGTGGATGGCATGGTATGAAAAAGGTCTCTTGGATGAGCACCAGTATGGCATCTGTGCCACTGGCTTGGAGCAGCTCAGCAGGGCTCGAAGATGGCATTTTGATCACGACCTGAAGTTGGTCATCATGCTTCGTACTGAAAGGGGTGTCTGTTATGGCGGAAGCCAAAAATGGTAATGATCGACAATTGCACGGGCAAGCTTCGTAACATGCTCCTTGAAGAAGGACATGGGGGAATTGATGGCACGCTCGAAGTCGGGCTTTGCAGCGATGCGAGAGTCGAGCTCAAGGACCAGTTCAGTAACCTCGGAAGTCTTGAATTCGCACATGGGATCGGTGAGTTTGAACTTAAACTTGCCAAAGACCGGGACTGCATGCGTAACACGCTTGTAGGATTGCTGAACTTCTTTGTCAAAGAGTATGACTTCAAATGGACCACAAACTCTGGTGCCAAGGGATGCCTTTGCGCTGTCATCAAGTTGTGGAAGGAGCACTACGAGCGGCTGCTTGCCGTTGAGCTTGATGATGTCGGCGAGGTGTTGCTTCGTAGTCAAGACGATTCTTTAATATAAAGTGAATAGACTGGATCTGCACTCCTGAACCTCGGCATGACAATGTTGCCAAAAACTGGTTTGGCAGGTCCAGTCCGAACAATCTGCGGCACGTATTCTGTACCAGAACTGCGAATTCAGACGCAAATCCTGGTTCTGCGAAGAGAAAGTTCCTCACAACTGGTCGAGGATCCCTGCCAACACCACCCCATGTGCCGACTCCGTTGAGTGCTGCGCTACCACTTGGTCGGTCAACCACTGGGCTACTTGCCGAGCCGTGCATCACATCGTGAGGGATGGATACAGGCAATGCGGAGGGACTGGAACACTGACGCACTCAAAATCTTGGCATACAGCGACATGTTCGCGGCCAAAGAAGTGACATCCCTGCTCAGCCATAGGTCAGTGATGGTCAGTGCCTATCACAAATACCTCGTCCTGCTGGCCAGTTGCCGTCAATGCAGCCTGAGAATTCCGGATCATGATATGTCACATTACTGTCCTCCAAGCCAAGCCAGCGTGGTGTCGTAGCCCTTGCCAATGCACCCAAAAGGCCTGTGGTACAGCCTGCCGCGTCAAGAATGGCCTGCGCTATGAGCATCATTGCTCGATTCAAATGGTCCTGGTCAAAATAGCCTCCACGATCAAGCAAATTTGTGGGTAATGGCTGACCTGTAGGCCTACCAGTCACTGGAGCTCCGGAAGCTCCTAGGGCTGCCTCACCCAGTGGAAGAGATCCAGGGGGCATGGTGGAATCACGGGTGGTGAGAGAAACCAGCTGGATTTCAACCTCAGAGCGCCAGAACGTGATCAAAGGCGCATACTCTTCTCCAGCTAGTGCGGGGGCCATCAAATCCTGGTACTGGAACTCAGGAATGTTGCTCACCCCATCTACATTTTGGATGTCACCTGCAGCAGTTGATGAGTACTGGATCGCTACAACCGGCTGATTCGCAAAAAGCACTCTCAAAGCCGGGGCCAGTTCAATGATCTCAGTGGCAGTAGTCTCGAAAAGCACTGCTCACTGCTCGCCCCTCCTGGATCGAATTCTCCATGGGTTGATAAGCCTTGGCCGCAGAGCCGACTGTCCCCATCCACACTAGTGGGGCACCAGCATAATCCCAGGTGAGATCAGCGCCCACCTGCGACCTGGCCACTGACAGAACTGCACAATTCCTCCACACTAAGCTCCAAAGGCCTGAGTGCGATACGCCACACACAATTCTACGTTCAGGCACGACAAAAGCCCTTGCAACAGCGGGGCGTTACCCTGCGCTAGCTCCGACGAGAAGTACGATCAAAGGGGTCAATGGATAGACGGGTGTCATCTCATAGCTTGTTGTGATTTCTCTGTGTGGCGCAAAGCTGATGACCTCCATTCGACAACAGTATCGATTTGACCCCCGCCAGCCGGCTAAAGCTGCCACCTCAAATGACACTTCTGTTGTCTCACCTACAGCCTTTCTACGAAGCTGATTCGGGGCCATAATATGTGTGGAGGTAGGGTTTCATAGCCAATGGGTGGAATTCCAGTTCACTGAGATAGGGCAAGGTTCCCCTGTCACGTTCTATCCCGCAAACCGCAAAAACCCGCCTCCTGCAAGCTATCAAGATGGTAATCCCAACCCGTCCGATCCCGCCAACCTTCCCGGACGGTCTGTCCCTGTCCCCACCTTCAACATCTCGCCATAGATCATTTGCCCCACCACGAGCAGCACGAAACCCATGACCTGCGATGGCCATGGTCCAGCTACTTGGAGCTCCAGAAAGGGCCACGTCTTCGACGTGCCCGGGAAACCACGCGGTGTCACTCGTCAGCCGAATCCTCCACGGTGGCTACAGAGGTCAGGGCTCTGGACCTATCTGCTTGACCTGCTTTTCGAGGGGATGGGTCTGGGACAAGCCTATACTAAGACGTATAGACTATAGACCCAACTTCAAGCACCTTAGAAAATGGGACATGACCCGAAGACAAGCGCAGGTATACCAAGGGTGACCCATCTTTCCAAGGTACGATGCTCATGCGACCGGGTCGACTGTCAACTCCAAATAGGTCTCCAAATAGGAAGCGCGGACCGCGGACCGCTGTTTTCAATCTGTTTTCACTCATGTGGACAGCACTGGGACCTCAAGCGGCGTCCGAATTGGGGATCCCTTTTGGTCTGACAAGACTTGGACATGAGCAGAGACACCGAAGCAAAGCAAAAACCATGTCGTTCATATAGCCTCTGCATGGACAAGTCAGACTTCTTTCATTGCAAGGTAATGACCAGGGGTTGTCCTAGCGGTTTCAATGTGAGTTCGTGGGAGGGAAGCCATCTGCTTGCATCTGCTTGCTGTTGAATGATAGCATCCCCAGGGCATCTAGTTACCGCTATAGCTCGTAACCAGTGGTTCCAAAGACTAAAACCATGGACCTAGAATCCCTGGTTCCTTATATAGTGGTAACTGGGATGCACTGGGTAGGTTTTGTATTCACCCTGAAGCTATACCAGACCACACCATGGTCCGGGGTCTTCTCAGTCTGTCTAATACCCAAACGCTCAAATCCCAAATGCTTCGATCTTTATACCCGATGAATAATACCTGAATCGTTGGGCGAAGGATTTCAATTGAAAAACTGTATTTAAATCCTTCGGGGCTGACGTCATTTTAATTTTTTAAATGTTCCAAGGTCGAGGCTCAGTTTTTTTGACTGAGATTCTGTCGTTTTAAAATCCTCGAGCCGAAGTTTTAATATCATCCTTCCCCTACCCTACATGATCACATCTGATGCCGAAATCATGGGCTTATTTAAATCCTAGTATGGACATCAAATACATCAAATCCCCACACATGTCCCCCCAACATTTGTATGTTTTTCCTTCCGGAAAACCTTCCCCTCCACAAATCCACCAACACTCTGTTTCTCCTTTCAGATTGCTCACAATCCAAGAATAAACATTACAAGAATGGAAGGCTGGCAATGCACAGACCGGCCCTACTCAAGTATTAAAATCAGACCTTGACCCCGTGCAAGCAACCACAGACTGGGAAAACATGCATTACTAAATTCCCGGCCTAAGATACCATGTGGTCCTCAATTTTGCTGGTATGTTATTCCAACATGATTTTTAAAATCCTTGTGCCAAGGGTTAATTCTTTTTGTAGCAAGTTTTGGGCGTCGTATTATTTTTCTGGACGCAGGCACAAGACAAAAAAAAAAATATACTTTTCCAGGGGTTGACCCCTAGGATTTTAATATTGATTATTTAATGGGTATATCTTTTAATACCTGCGTTGGGGGTGGTTGAAAAGGGGTCAATGCCTAGACACCTCAACGGATGTCGATTGGAGTCCAAGAATTGGTTCATGGACACTTCCTTAGCCACTAAAACATCGCACTCCAGACAGGTACGGGGGATGTCCTGGTGCACATAAATGGCTGCCAATCCCAAACAAGTCATGTCCGGGACATGATATTTTTTAGTCTGCAGAAACCGATTTCTGCCCCGACGACCACGTCCGACCCAGTTCCAAAGCTGGGAAAAGACCTCCGGTGTTTTGGGAACTGACCACGTCCAGTGAGGTCAGGAACTCCTGACCTATTGGGTGGAAATCCGGGTGACCAGTTAGCTTGCGTCAGGTCTAACCACCCGGATGGAGCGACTGGCGAGGTCGCACAGAGCACAAACCCGGAGGAACCTGATCAGTGAATCAACTTGGTGTCTCCTTGTCGTCCCTGTGTCGTTCCCTGTCCTCCAGACCTCCTGTCCTCCCTGTCCTCCCTGTCCGCCACGAGACCTTCAAAGCCAACCAAGCGATCAGCGATTTGGGGCTCACCACGTCTTCTTTTTCGAAGGGGGCGAATCCAATGACCCTCCCCCAAAAAAACAATTATTTTGCAATACACTCCCTGGAACGACCACATGGTTACGTGGAGAATGGCCCCGAGTTCGGAAGACCATGAAATCCACTACAAACAGGTGGTTTTCCATGTTAGTTTTCGGGAGTGTATTTTGCACCATTCATTAAAAAGACAACCAGGTGAAGGAACGATTCCCTGGTTCCCTGTGCAAAGATTTGCAGGTGATACACTTCTTCTGAATTGCGCCCCCCCCTAGAGAGAGTCCTTTCCCAAAACACGACCTCTCTGGGACTGGCATATATTGACCAATCCGTTGGTGTGGGAAATGTTCTTATGGAGTGCCTGGCTTTGGATCCAGCAAACCCTCAATCCCTCCTTCCTAAGCACAGCTCAGAACACGGAGGCACCTCCAACCAGCTCCACTTCCTTAGCACTGGACGCTCAACTCCGGACGCGATCGTGCTCTGACGCAACTCCCACGGGACGCGACGGCCAAGCCAAAAGAGACTAAACACGGCCTGGAAGAGCAACAGAACAGAACGCCGGCGCGTGCTTTGTTTTTTGGAGGGATAAACATGTGTTGACAAGTGTTGACAACACGTGAGCGTTGATGATACCTGTTGTTTACTGTTTCATCATGAGCTGTGCAAAAGAGAGTCTCAAACAATGCCCTGTTAAGACCAGCAAATGCCTTGATGACGTATGAAGAGACCCTATAGGGCTTCAACCGTATCCTCAGAAGATAGTTCCCCTGGCACCCACCCGACCACCTTTTCAGCAGGTAGTTGGAGCCCTAAAACATTCCTGGACCCTATGGTACGAATCAAAAGTCGAGTATCGTATACCGCCCAGAAAAGACTCGAGGGTACATATACGCCATATATGTACAATCATTTCCAGCTCGGAGAAATTTTTGGATCATGGATTATAAGGTGAATCATAATGATAATTTAAAACAAACACACATTACGCACATGAAAAAAGAAAACAACACGTCCTCGTACTTTCTTCTTGGTTTTGAAGTTCTCGTGGGTCTTCCTTCTCCAGGTGATTCAACTTGAGAGAGGAGGGGGTGAACGAAAGGTAGCAGGGAATCAGGCGTAACCCTGGAAACACTGGTATTAATGGTATTTACGGTGTTTTGTGGCCACTTTGAAGCGTACATAGCTTGAAACCATCCCAATATACATGGTTTTGTGGCGGATGCCGGAGTGGTCGGTTTCTTCGTCCAAGGCACGTCCAAACCTCACCCATCAGCGAAGTGGAGTCCACGCAGTAGTGCACCCACCTCAGAGTTGGCCCAGTTGGCGACATGGGTGTGCATTAACATAGGGAGACCTCCCAGTTCGACCCCTTGGAAGAAGGAAAATCATCAAAACAACAGCGAGGATTGGAGGATTAGATCATATAGACTTTTTGTTCAGTGGTCCTGTGTATGGAAAAATGTTTCAATACCAGGAAAAAACTGATTAAATATGTTAAAACATGCTGAACAATGCTTTTAATGCAAAAACCTGCAAACATGAAGGCACATCCACGAGTACCCAATTCAAATACAACTGTGCAAAAAAAACACAAAATATGCATATTACGCATATTATGAGGAAAGAATCATTTAATTTGGACAAAGTAATCTTGGAGGGTGGGTCAGAAACTTTTGGGCATGAACCCAAAAGGACTTTCATCCAAAGGCAACCACCGAATGCCAAACACCTGAAAACCACATGCACTCCAGAAACGGGACCAAACTCCGCCAAGCATGCAGAACTCTGGCCACGCCCCTTGGTGTGTTTGAAGGAGGGGTGGACATGTGACACGTGGAAAACCCCCCCATCCACTTCCGATTTTCTTCATGGTGCCCGACACTACACCCGCGACATTTTCTACAGAGCTAAGCCGAGTTGAGCCGGCCATGCTTGCACATGCCAGCATGTGATCCAAAGATGGGGGATGGCTTTGCTCAGAAAAGAAGAAATGCGTTGGTAATGCCATGCCTTTTCCTTTAGCAGTCGACACGTGAGACTCTCCGAAATCCGCCGACCCCGGAGCATGGCCGCTGAACGGCGGAAGCGGGGCGGGAGCACTGCTGGGTGGGCGCTTGCCCAATTGGCCTCGCGCGTCAATGACGTCCTTGTTGTGGGACCGTCAAATATATTTGATCTAAAAGTGTTGCCCAGGCTTTGGTCCCAGGTTCACCCCCACCCTGCCTGTCCCGGACCCACTCGCGCCTTATCTTCGCGTTGTGCCAACACACCCATCGTCCCATCCTCCGTAGGTCTTGGTTTTGCGTGCTTCCAAATCACAGACCCAGTACTTTGCGAGGTACTCTCTCAGGTCGACTCCAGGTAGTCCGAACAGGCTTTGGTTTGACAAGTGTCCAACTTTGAACCGTCCCGCACGGACGCCAAACCGTCCTCCCAAAGCCAAGCAACAAGCCGAAGGCCCACACAATCAGAGTTCGCAATGCCTCGTGATCGGTAACCGGTGGGGTCAGCTTGACATGCGCATTGGACAGATGTTCTGTTTTGCACCTCGCGCTGGAACGTGACGACCAGTTCGAAAGCATGATTTTGACGGATGAAAGCCACTCCCACCACCACCCTAACCCCTCAGCTCGCTCCTTCGCATCTGGGCATCTTCAAACTCCCTTCGTTCCTCCGCTTCGTTCCATCTCCAACCCCCCGCAACCAACAACCCCATCCTGTGACCGGTCGACCCGTCGCCTCCAACATCACTCGATGCACCGCGGACAGCGCGCCCGTCACGGCGATGCCGCTGATGTTGTAGGTCGCCTCCGAGGCGACCGGGGCGGTGGTGGGGGGGGGTTGACTTCGGTGTTCACCATCAGTTAGCGACCGGAGTTCGGCGTGGTTTGCTTCAAAGTTCTCATAGCAAGCGAAACGACCGGGAAAGGTGTCCCAAGAAAACCGGTAGTACAGTCGGTAGGTAGCACACAATAAGCTTATAAATTACCATCATCATGCACTGGGCCTAGGGAATGGGATAGACCCAATAGCAAGCGTTAAATTGTTTTGATTATAAATAACTGAAATCAATGGTGGGCCAGGAAAACCTAAGGATGGGAGTTCAAGACTACCCTATACCAGTGGCCCTCAATACCATGAAAAATACAGGTGTTCACATACTAAAAACCATGCTTTGTTGCTACTAGGGAAAACCAGGTTTTTGATGGTTTGTGTGGCCCCTGGTAAGAATTGGGCCCAAACATGCCCAAACCAACGATACGACGGACCTTCTCCCTCCATAGCAGGGGGAAAAGGACCCGAACCAAACCCTTTATTTTGGTTCGGGCCCGGATTCTTAGGGTAATCAGCAGTCTTCCCTGTTCATGTGTTCATGATATCTCGTGGTACTCCGTCAAACCGACCGGGGTGGTATTCCAGCCTTCTTTAGAAAATGCGCGGCCACTGTGCCTTTTGGGTCGTCGCATGATTCGACTTGATTTTGCCAGGCCTTTTTGGGATGTTATAGATTCAAAACCATGAGTCATAACGAATTGACATGAATTGACTCATCTCTCACACAAAAACACAAATCATTCATGACTCGTAAAGAAACATCTTCAGAAACCGATCGGTCTGACGGTCCTTGCCGACGGTCTGACGGTGTTAGCCGTCGCTTTCCTTGTCCAAGTCTGGACGGCCAAGTGACGCAGGAGAAGGTGTAGAGACAAATGAGCGCAAAGAGCTTCGAGTTGCTCCTGCTCCGCTCGTTGCTTTTCGCCGCAACAAAAACATGCGGAGAACCTCCAAACTCCAAAAGGTTGTGACCATTTTGAGACTGGAAAGATGGAAAGAGGAACTCTTTTTTAAAGGAAGTGCGATCCAAATCTTTGTTTTAAAGGATATTTCTTTTTGGACCTTTCAAGAAAACGATTTTGTAGATCATGGTGGCGTTGAGTTTTCCGCTGGGAAGCCAAGAACATAGATTCCATGCCTTTGAGCAAACACACACACAAAAAAAACAACAACATCCTATAGCCTTCCGTTCGACCATGAAAGAGTTCGGTTGATTTGGTGTTGTAGTCTAAAATCCTGAAACCTTACAGTAAAACAACTGGTTCTAAAACTTAAATCAATGATGGACGCCGTCCGGGCAAACAGCGTTTGCTGAAAACCGAGTCCACAGTCTGGAGCTGAATCGAAAACAAATAGGCAAAAAACAGCACCCTCGACCCTCGACCCTCCCTCAGTACGAAAACAAAATCAATGCTGTGATACTCTGAGACTCTAGGCTGTCACTTTTAGACAAACGCATGCAAACAAAACGTATATGAACCAACATCATACCACAAATCAAGACACAAAAAACAAAACTCCGGCAGAATGATGTCGTTTAGTCATCTTTATGGGAGTTGTTTCTCACAAAAAGAAGGTGCCCACAAGGTCCGGGTCTCTTGGTACATGGGACGCCGATCGACGTTCAGTACGTTCAGTCAAGACGTCTGGACCTGGACAGCGAGAGAATGCAACCTGAAGGAGTCTGCAAAGGTCAAAGCAATGGAACCAAAACCTTAAGAACATGGCCTTGGTCTTCGGTCTTCGGAGCAATCCCTTCAAAGCCTCCCAAGATGAAGTTGGAGTTACGCATCGGCGCAACAACTCCACACAATGTGTAACCATCCAGGGATTCCCCTTAGGAAAGGCAGCTTTGGATCTTAAACAGTCAACTCCGAGTCAACTCCCCGACAAGCAGCAGGAGGAGCAGGAGTAGGAGTAGGAGCAAAAGCAGGAGGAGGAGCAGGAGCAGAGTAGTAGTAGTAGTAGTAGTAGTAGTAGTAGTAGTAGTTGTTGTTGTCGTCGTAGTCGTAGGGGTAGCGGTAGCGGTAGCAGTAGCAGTAGGAGTTACAGTAGTATAGTAGTAGTAGTAGTAGTAGTAGTAGTAGTAGTAGTAGTAGTAGTAGTAGTAGTAGTAGTAGTAGTTGTTGTTGTTGTTGTTAGTCGTCGTCGAGTAAGGTCGGTTGAGGTGACATACAAATACAATGCTTCAGTTCGCCCTGCTTCGACAGCCAAAAGCCACACCCCCGCGAGTTGTCGCAGTCCTCAAGAGAGGAATGATATCCAGCTCGTCCTCTGCATGGCCATGATCGCTCCTGTTGGCCGTTTTCGACGCCGTGTTAACGGGCGCCGTGTCGGCCGGCGAAAGCAAGATTTCCACCACCTGGGAGTCCGTTATGATGATGAAAAGAATCGATCAGAATGGTTGGACGAACGGATGCGATTGACTTCAGTGACTTCATGAAGAAGTATAGTCCAACTAGACGAGTGGTCCCTACTGAACGCACATGTTGACCCAAAAAGCTCCGTTCCACAGCCCAACTGGTCCCTCAAACCCCAGACCCCTCAATAGCTTCGAGTCCGGGAGCCCTCCACACCTTCGGGTGAGCGGCTGAGGCTGATCCCGCTCGACATGGAGTCCGACTCACTCAGAAATCAACAATGCTGAACCATCCTGAACCATCTTCCAAGACGGTGCTCACCTTGTTTTTTGGTGATCATTTGTTTCACCAACTCCAGCTAAATTTGTTGAAACTTTTAGTATATAGATGACTGTCCATTCTTTTGAATCCCAAACATACAACGGAACACCAACAACACCAACTCCGACCGGCGAACAAAAACACAAAGCGAGGATTGTCCAGTCTTTTGGGGATTTTGCAATTTACTCTGAAACCACTGTATGGTAGTGGTCATGGTCAAAAACGTTCTACCAACACCGCCCAGTTCGGATGTTTGTTTGGAAAATGCATGGGATCTGGGGTCTATCAACCGACCTAATTAGCCTTGGGTGCGTATCTGGACACTCCGTGTATGGAGGTATTCATACCATTTTATACCTAGTCCCCAGGGATCCAGTCGTACTTTCTCAGGTTCGGTACGACATGTCTCAGTGTCGAACACATCACCGAACCTGAGGTTCGGTACGAAAACGGATCCCTAGGGACTGTATACGGTATAACCCCTGAAAACACCCGGACGGTCCCAGGGTCCACGAAGTCTGGACCCGCCGCCTCCGTTCGGCCGCACGTCCCGACGTAGCTGGAGGGGTGCGGAGCTGTTGAGGGCCACGCATGGAGCCAAGAGAGGTTAAGTGACCTGAAAAAGGGCGAAAGCCTGGGGTACTCCACTGACCTAGTCTAGTTCGGGTCCTTCAAGCTCTGTTGGTCAAGGGGTACGACGGTACGATGTACTTATATCCCGCTCGTCGGAACATCCCCGCTCCCGGGCAAGAACTGCACCGTCGGGAGCACAAAAAGCAACCTCGGCCGGGTGTGTGTGTTGCGCTGATATGCGCTGATGTGCCTTCCACCTTCCGCGAGTCGGAGAGAGAGAAACCACACGTCACGTCAGTCCCCTACAGGTCGGGAACTGACCGACCCTGAAATACTGCAAACACATGAGTACCAGAGTCACGTCGCGTTTGATCAAATCCATCCGTTGTTTCAGTAACGTGTAGTAGCTAAGCAAAGCGATTATTCTGGTTCTTGTTCTGGCAGGTAGCCGGAATAAGACAGAGTATTTGCTTTTGTTCGGGCCCTCTTCCATTTCCTTGTATAATATATCATATTTTGGATAGAGGATAGAAAGGAAGCAACTCTTTTCCATGTTCCACGTCCATCCAGGATCCTGTCTGGGTGTCCTGGCTGGAGGTCCAGCAGTGTAGGGTAGTTTATTGGACGCCCAAACAGGATGACCCAGATTATAAAAGATTCTTGAACCTGGTGATTGGCATGTCCCACACACCACAGTTCGTTGGGTCCTGCCTTACACGGAGCATGTGGGGCACTTATGTGCCCTATGTCTCCAACCACTCATTGAGTTAACTATTATCATGTTTAAATTGCATTTGCAAAACCACTATTGTTAAACTATGGATTTCACACAAGACCAGGTCAACCGTCTTCCATGGTCTTGAAAGGTTATAGGAAGTGTCTTGCTCAGAACAACAGAGTCAGCAAATGCATTCAAATGCCACAGCCCAGCAGTTCCATGTCGGGGTGCCCACACTTCCCTCCATGATCGATAAGAAAACAGATTCCAGAATAAATGAATAGTGTCTCCACAACAGCAACTGCAAAGGATACTCATCAGTGATTGAACAAAAAACAACATTTACAACATTTAACGGATTCTTTGGCATTCTACGCGAGTTGCCTTTGCGCAGAAAAATTATGGGGCCTACACGAATTGGTTTTGCATGCCTTCGTATGCACAAAACTGTGAGAATTGCCTTTGCAGGCTGTGCAGTTCCACCTTCATACCTGGAACCTCTGCCTGGTACAAATTTTAGTCGTTTAGTGAAACTCAATAAATCTTCAGCGTTTCAGCACAAAACTGGCGTTTCAATCCAAAACTGTCGTTTCAGAATGCTTGAAGTAAAAACTGGTGTTTCAGATTCCTTGGAGTGAAGATCGGTGTTCGCGACTGGCTGTGGGTTTAGGAATCCTTCAAGGGACACCTATAGTACTAGAGAAACCCTTCAAGAAGACATTGCTCGAAGAAGGTCTTGAAAGGAATCAACCAGTAGCCTTCCAGAGTTGTTGGGGTTTGTTTGCATCTCTTCCCATCCCTTCCCGGAAGATTGTGCAGCTTTTGCCGCTTTCGCCGTGAGTCTCTAGGTTCACCTGACAAGCCTTGGAGCAGCACGCTTCCAAAGGATCATACTCTTCACCAGATAGAATTCGAGCACTCGTTTTGTGACATGTCTAGTGTCCGTCATCATCACCAACCGACACACTCTTCCAATTAGGTCCTCTCCGATCTCGCATGCGAAGCAAAGAGGATTGACAAAGAAGGGTTTTGTTCGATCCTCCAAGAATTGCTGAAAATCATAAAGCCAGTGATCAAAGCTGTGAACTTTTGGGACCATGGCCCAGGCAGCGAAATTCTGTTGCATGTTGTGATAGGCAAGTCCGTGGTACATCTTTAAGAAGCTAGATCCGGACCTCAACGATTCCGCAACACAGGAACGACAAAGGAGCAAGCCATGCCCCAGCAAGTGCTGGTAGAAGTCCAGAGCATGCTGACCGCAATCTCGCATTTGCAACAATAGGAGTCTCTCTCGCTCATCGTGCTCCTCTGCAAAGATCGGAAGCAAGGATACCAACCAATTGGCTAGAAGAACACAGTCTGAGGCTTTCACATTGGCCCAAGGTGCGGTGCTCGTGTTGGGCCAATTGAACAAATTCCGACTGAAGGATCGAAGTGCCGGGGTTTTGCGCACTGCAAGACAATACAGCTTGAAACTGGAATGGGCGCGGGTCAGCTGGATGTCTGCATTGTTTGGCTCTCCTTCAATGCTAAAGGTTTGCCCCCACTGGATCAGGCTCACCAAGGCCGAGCCCACCCAGTGCCGGAGAAGCCCCAAACGCATGATGTGGAAAACATCTCTTTTGTAGAGGTATTCAGCGCGGTCACCTTCAAATGGAACAACCGCCAGGGGCGGCTGTTCCATCCATGGGCGTGTTCGGTAACAAGTACGTCGCCACTTTGCAGAAGAGCGCACATCCTCATAGGGCACATTTGGAGCACCAGCGCCACACTCATAACACATTTCAAGGGAGCGCTTCCGTCCTCTCGTCCCATAATGCCTCACTAAGTTGGCAATTGCAATGTGCCACTTCTGGTCGCCCTTCACCGCTATGAGGGCAAACGTGTAGCAAGTACCCCGCACAGTCAAGCCTTCGTGAAAAAGTCGCTTCAAAGAGACCGCTACGCGCTCCAGCAACCATGGCACCCCTCTACGAAGACCTAGGTATACATTATACAAAAATACATGCAATTTGTTCTTTAGATTTAAATAGAAACATTGTTCATCTGGGATGTCCAGTTTCGACCGGGTACGAACGGTCCGTCGTGTCCAGGTTGGTCGACAAGTCCAACATGTTTCACATGTTTCACCCACCCCCTGCCTAAGCTTCTTGTTGCAGCTTCTTGCCACTAGTAGTATGGCCAGGAGCTACTAGTAGCTTTTTGCTCCGTTCGTGGCGATGCTCTTTGCTCCATTCGTAGTAATGCTCTTGTTACTAAGCCCTTCTACCCCTGATCCCTTCGACCAAACGAGGCGCATCAAGAGAGCTCCCCAGATCCCTTCAAAACCCACCACCTGTAGGCCCGGCAGATCCACGTCCTCGCTGTGCCGACGTGAGAGGCTCCATCTGCCGATTGGAGTGGTAAACTTGAGGCCAGGGGGAGGAGGTCGAAAGCTAGCCGAATCGCACCGGATGTACTATTTACATCGTCGGCAAAGCATGTAGTGTATATATGTTTTGGGAAAAAGGTTGCAATGTACATACTTTGTGCTAAAGAATGTAAATGTGACATCGCCGACTGGGAAGGGTACATTGGAACAACCCGGGTGCACTCGTTGGCAGGCACGAAGATGCGTGATCGGCAAATCTGGGGGGTAAATTTACCCCCCGCTTATGTATGCCTTGAGTCGGAAAGAGGGGTAAGCATTTGGGCGTCCGTAGTGTATAAGCACTGGTAAAAGGTATAAGGAATAGAGTGTCTTGAGGAAAGAGCCGGTGTATGGATATAGCAAATCTGGGGGGTAAATTTACCCCCCGGTTATGCATGCATTGGGTTAGAAATAGGGGTAAACAACTTGTAACAGTGAAGTACAAGTCCTATGCTCAAAGCGCAACCTTTTATATAACAGTGAAGTACTATGCTCTAAGCCTATGCTCAAAGCCACCCTTTTATATAACAGTGAAGTACTATGCTCTAAGCCCTGCATCTTGCAAGCACATCCATGCCAAGGCCAAGATTAACTAAACAGCGAAAACAAAAGAACACTTGTATGCCTGCAGCTGGGAGTTGAACCGGGGGGGTGGATAGCGTGACATATCATGTTTTATCAAGCTTTAAGGCACGCAGCTCATCTCACTACCAAATGCTAAAGCACAGAAGAACTCAGCGCACTGCGGTCGTTGAGGTCAAAGCTTACCATCGAGATTTCAATGGAGTGGGATCAAGTCTATGGACATATACTTAAAGTAAGGTGCACTTGATAACCTGCAGCTATGGAGGCGGACGAAAGGTATAGAACTTAGATAGAGCTTGGCTGCTTAGGAGCAGCAGCAGCAGCAAAAGCAGCAGCAGCCCAGCAGGCAAGCAGCAGCAGCAGCAACCGCCTGCAACCAGCAGCCAGCAGCAACCACCAACCAGCAGCCAGCAGCCAGCAGCGCAGCGCCAAGCCGCAGCAGCAGCAGCAGCAGCAGCAGCAGCAGCACCACCCGCAGCAAGCAGCAGCAAGCAGCAGCAGCAAGCAGCAAGCAGCAGCGTCAGCAGCAGCGGCGTTGTCAGCAACAGCAGCAGCAGCAGCAGCGCCAAGCCGCAACAAGTAGCAAAGCAGCAGCAACAAAAGCGGCAACCAGCGGCAGCAGCAAACAGCAGCAGCAAGCAGCAAAGCGGCAGCAGCAGCACCGTTTACACCGGACCAAGCCACCGTTTACACCCAACCAACCACGTTCACACGTTCAACCAACCCCCGCTACGCGGCGCAGCTGGGAGTCGAACTGTCCCTCTTAGTGTGATATATCAAGCTTTAAGGCACGCAGCTCAATCCCACTACCAATTGCTGAAGCAAAGAAGAACTCAGCTAGCATGCTAGCTTTCGTGATCAAAGCAGATTTGGTTGACTCACTGGGTCGGTTCATGCATCAGTAGCGGCCTGCCACTGCACTCTGCACTCTATACCGCTCGTGACGTCTCCTGCACTCGCAAAGACCTTGTCTAACTACGGAGATTCTCTGCGCAGAACGCAGACGCCAACGCAAGTGAACCCGGTCGATCCGAGTCCTTGAGGAGCCATTCCTCAGCAACCCGTGCGGAGGCAGGTGATGAGTCATGAACAGGAGAGGTTGAAGGGCCCTATATAGACATCTATAGACTATAGGTAGCTCAGTAGGGTCCTATAAGGTGACTAGTGAATTAACCTCTTTTGGGAGATTCTGCACCCGCTGTCGAAGAGCTAGGGGCATTGGGAAGCACTGCCGATGGACTTTGGCCAGTCTTCGGCACGGCAACGCCGCAGGCAACGATGCGAGGTCTCCAAACTCGCTTGGCGCCCTCGTGCACTTTTTCTGTTTGCTACACTCCCCAGGCAACAGGCTACAGCCAAGGCACCAAACTTGCTGATCATGCTTGGTTTCAGCAGCTCGACTTTCTTCGCAGGCTGGCAGATTCTGCTTCGGAAAAGCCGTCCATTGCTGGCAGCTCCGGAATCCATTCATGGTCTCTCTTGTCATTGGCCAGATCGCGCTGTGGTTGTAAAATCAGAAATGCTCACAAGGCTCACAAGACCCGGGTTAACCCTGTGACAAATATAGCGCATCGAGAAGATTTGCAAGACAAAACTTCACATACAACAGCCTTGCCCTCGCACTCTCTCCCTTCCAATTGCTATCTTCCAGACCTCCAAACCCAAACTGAGGAGACAGGGCCTGGTAGGACCCGAATTTGAGGCTATTAGGCTTGACCCAAGCAAGTAAATTGGCCACAGCGGCCGCAGAAGAAAAACACTTTCAATGCCCTTGCCAGCCATTGCTTCTTTGGTGAGCCCATGTCCAAGGGACCCGATGCTACCCCGCAGGATGCAGGTGAATGTTACATATTCTTTGATTGTTCTTGAGTGCAGTGCTGATGTCCCCAACCCCCAGGATGCAGGTGAGTATAAGATACTGTTTGCTTGTTAGTGCTTGAATGTAGTGCAGGTCTGGCCCCCGAGCGGTCCAGCGGTTCGCGTACGGAAAGCAGTGACAGTCGTGCGGTCCAGCGCTGCGCGCGTGTGAAGTAAGCGCCAAAGGTCCAAAGACGTCACTCATTGTACAATGAGTGTGAGACCAAACATGTTGGTGAGTGTGAGATATTTTGTGTCCTTGTGTGTAGTGTTGAAAGTGCGCAAGTGAGTCTTCGTTCTTGATGAAAGTGATGCAAGTGAGTGAATGTCCGGCCGGCCTCCTCCGGTGGACACTTCGCGAAGGAGGTACTGTGAGATGAAGAAGCTCGGGCACAGGATCACACAAAGTGCACCGCAGCGCCCCACCCACGCACGAGTTCACGGATATCAGGGCCTAATAACGTCCTACAAACCACAAGGGTTGGGGATTCCCTTGCAAGTTCCCGGAGCCAAACCTTCTTGACATTGACATGTATTGTGCCACTTTTCGAGGACCAGCCTCACTTGCTCAACCATACCGACCTTTCTGATAACGCAGGACTTCCTGGAGCTCCAGTTGGACCACTGCTTTGGCTGTAAGTTTACCTAGTTTGGCCGTTGCCTTCTTCGGCTCTGCTGGCGCGCTACCGGTGCTACCGGAGGAAGTAGTGGAATGCCACATGGTATGAGTTTCAACTGCAAGGGGTGATGGAAGGTGTTACACAGTTAGACCCTATTATCCCGGCAAGAGACCCCAAACAGTGTGTGTGAGGTCTATAAGCAGAAAGTCTAGAGATCTAGACGCATTTGGGTCCAGAGAGGTGATGGTGGTGATGAAGGTGGGGATCGTGGTGACGGTGGCGATGGTGGTGAGTGAGTGAGTGTGAGTGTGAGTGAGTGTGAGAGTGAGAGCGAGAGTGAGAGTGGGTGAGTGGGTGAGTGGGTGAGTGAGTGTGAGTGGGAATGTGAATGCGAGTGAGTGTGAGTGTGAATGTGAGTGAAGAGTGTGTGTGGGTGTGAGCGTGTGTGAGTGAGTGAGAGTGAGAGTGAGGAGTGAGAGTGAGCATCTGAGAGCACAAAGTGCTGTGCCTGCAACGAAATCTTCACATCGAGGTTCACAAAGTGCTGTACATGCCACGAGACTGCCCTTCGAGGTTCACAAAGTGCTGCGCCTGCCACGAAATCTGCACTTCGAGGTTCACCAAGTGCTGTGCCTGCC